TATAAGATGCTCCGCATCTAAAAGTGTATGCAAATTAGAAGGCCAAGGCAAATAATCCCTTCGCCGGAAGTGAATCGGCCTATCATCAACCACGCGCCGGGATGCGCGCACGTGCCGCAGCGCCTCTAGCGGCCGCTCTAAGTTCTATGTCACGCCGATTGAGTACAAGGTTCAACCCTAAGGAGCTTCTTCCCTAAAGAAGCGCGAGGCCTTCACAGAACACGCAGTATGGCCATAGCGAAAGCTGGAAGAGCATCCTTTCCTGAGTCCTTGATAGACTCCTTTGGAACAACTACAACATGTACGCATGCGAGGTACCCACTACGCCATTAACCACCGGAACATCCATCAAGTAGAAAAGCACTCACTATGCTATCATTCGTTATGCTGAGAATACGCGAGGTACCTGCTACATATATGTAAGGCACTACGTGTAATTTGTTTGCGCTGTGGCTGATAACGATGGAGAAATATGGATGAGCTTTTTACAATGGGTTCCAAGCTTCAGCTACCCACTCGTAGCACCATTCGTATTGTGTGACGGTTTGTTGTTATGCACATGTTAACAAGGTTCTTTGCCTGATATATCAGGCAAAGAACATCCTATACAGGTATCATATATGACACCTGTATCGGGTGATTGTACGAAGAAGTCTCATGTACCAGTGGGGCTCTCGGGTAGAATATTTAACTGTTATGCAGAGGGCCCGGCTTCAAGTCACAGCTATTACTAGAGTTTTTTCTAATTAATTTTTTTACATCTGGTGATGGCAGTTGAGGACACCAGCGTTGGTGGTGATAACTACAGCGCCACGATTGTTTCTTGTGATCTCAAAACACCTTTCACTGTAATGTGCAAGGGTCTGAGACACCATCACAGTCACCATAGCCTTGCCCGAGAGCACAGAGTGACTGCTTACAAATAGCTATAGGTAGGTGGTTGTTGGCAGCGCAGAATAGCAGCTCCCATCAAGGATGTCTGTCACCCAGGCTGACACCATCGCTACATCTTCAATAACGAGGTTGATGACATCGTACCTTACTCACTGTAAGAGGTGCTAATGCTTGGTTAGTGATAGCCAGCAAGACTTCCGGACCTTTCTAGGTTTTTAACGCGATATCGTTAGAGAGCAGGCACTGACGTCGTTGGTTGTGAGCGAAGAATTATCATCTTGTCCATGGCTGCTTAGCTAGTATCAAAGGATTAATTTCGCATTCCAAACATTCTCATTCTATCCTTTGAGGCTTTTAGATAATTATTGTGAAGATGAAAACCTAAGGCGAAATACTTTTAGTAAAAAAAGGTTTTCATAACATAACCTTAAGAATACAGTTTGTAATGTCAAGAAGGTGAAACTCAATTAGTGTTTAATTACTTTTTTCAGCGAACGACAATTCTTTAGTAATTGTTTAAGAAAAAAGCATCTCACAAGTCACGGCATCTATTTGCAGAACTGCTTAAAATTTTTATGTTTTACAGAACCTTTTCGTATGCGTGATTCTCACGGGCTAGTTCCATTCCTTTCATAATAGAGTCCTGGTGGCTCTAAAGCTTTTAGTATGAATGTTGAAGACCTTCATTATTCGTTGCCGCATGAGGACTTGTTAAAATGCTAAAGTAATGAACAAGGGCACGAGACAGCTTTCACAAATAAATGTGGTCTTTCTACGAGGCATTTTTGCAGACTCTTTCTCCGTGCTTAAAGTAGCCGATTGTAGGTTGGAGTTTAGGTGCCTCTGGGCAGAAATGATGGATATGCTTTGGTTCTAAGGTTGCTCCTGTGCATTGGTTGTAAGGTTGCTTCGTTTGTCAGTTAAAACTGACAAACTTTTGGAAGGTGGTTTACGAGACTCTGTTAGTGAGGTTTTTTAATATTCGAGGGTACAGTAACCCACAAGATTACTTAAACATCTCAATATTTTTTTACTCCATGACCGCAACCTTCTGTGTTTACGAACGTGTGTTCGAAGTGCAATTGACGCGCGTGCAACATGCGCGCTCGTCTAGAGGCGATCCCAGTGGGTTCACAGCAATTAAAGGGACACTTAATTCAAATAACAATTTATGTCAGACTTAAAGCTTGATGTATGGCAACGTCTAAAACGACCATATTATCCACAACAGCGTCCTCCTTATCAATAAAGTAAATGCACGAGAACACATGCGCTGCGATAGGACCTTCTCAAAATGATACCGATCACATCAGAGGTACCGCCTGCACTTAATCACTAGTAATGAAACTAGCTGCAATAAATAAAAACTTTTCGTGTATCAAGAGTCATAATAAAATGCTGCTTCTTCGTGTGTGTTTCATTCATAGGGGGAAAAAAACGCCGGGCGTTACTAAGTAGAATAACGCGAATGCTTCAAAAGTTCAATTTTCACCTGGTTAAACTTCACCGGTCGTGCCATCTAGCTGGGCCCAGTTGAACAAAGCACGTCTGCCATCTCACAGGCCATGGTAGGAAATTTTAAGTGGGCGTTGTTGCATATGTGGCTCCCGCAACTTTCGTTCAACAGCTAGTAGCGTTGGCTACCACGCAATAAAGCCGGGCAAAGTTGTTCACGTCAGCAGTGACGTGACACGTTCTGCTTCGGGAGGGCAATTCGAAGTGCGATAACCGATGCGGACGTGATGTTGTTTCGAAATAAGCGCTTCATTGGTACTAAGTAATGCTACGAGATTTCCGGACAGTTATTTCATCAATCAACGTCGAATCAACACTTGCTTTTAATGTCCCTTGAGGTGGTTCTTGGAACTGCGGTAAGTAACTGCTAAATATTTGCTGATTTTCATCTTTCATCTTGCAACAATGTGCTTCGCTACGCGGAGCCAAGCGGAGCTGAAAAAAACGAAGTTAAGACAAATCCATGTACTCACCATCATTCCCATGCAGGCTAAAACGCCATGCGCTGCAGCTCCCCCAGATACAAACGCCAGAGTTCCCTATAGTGTACTTACAGAAAACTCTGTGGTGCGAGCGTCTGCGATTGGAAACGCCCAGCAGTCGACGCAGAAGGTTTAGGCACTGTAGCTCCACGAACGTGAAACCTGGGGAGCTGCGAAGCACCCGTGTTTCCCTTATAGACACGTCACTCCGAGGGCCTCCTGACGTGACACTTAAGTACAGCGTTTACTGGAGCACATGTTCGCCCACTTGCCAAGCTCCCAGATCTTTATTTTTTTGTAGAAATATTTACGAATTCTTACGAAGTTTTTAAGAATAACAGTCGCTTTGATGGAGGCGAGTTGGTTAATCCCTGACGAAGCGGGCACAGCGAAAAAAATAATCTGGAAGAAAAATAAACACGATAATTCATAACTGGACGCTGTATTAATTCCAGATGATTTTCACGCTCTAACTGCACAACGTGAACACTCAGGAATGCTGCGCGTCCTGATGTCATGCACCTACGAAATCTGGGCGGTATTCCAGCGCTGAAAAGCGAGCAGCCGATTTCCCGCCCCTGTGTAAACAAACTGGACTGTGGGAACGCGCGTGAGAAATATCTTCATCCGCCTCAGTAATACGTGCATGTCTATAATCCCGCATGACAAATTTTTGGGCCGGAAACTTGCTCTTTGAGGCTACACCCAAACGAGGACCGACGATGCGGTTGCCCTGTTTCGTGGGTCGTGCAATTGCGATGCAAGAGGGGTGTTTTTTATTATTATTTTATTTTTCTAAAGAAATGTCTTTTCTGATCGCTGCACCTAAGACTGACGGTTCTATCATCATGCGGAAATAGTCACTAAGGCGTGAAATAAGTGCGTCCTGTCGACAGTAGTGGTGTCCTGATCAACTAAAATTAAACAAAAAAGTGTGCATGATAAATATCTGCTTGATTATATTGCGAATAGTTTCTGCAATGACAGTCGTTGAAAAGTATGTGTTGCGTGTTCGGTTGGCGTGTTCTCGTTTTCTCTGATCTTTTATTTTCTATACATGAATCCTTTCTAGAAAACAGCAAACGTCCCCTGAACCGTGCTATCGAACTAAAGCGCGTTGTCTCGTACTTTTGCCTCGCCGTGGTAATGGCTAAGGTACTCGGCTGCTGACCCGCAGGTCGCGGCATCGAATACCGGCTGCGGCGGCTGCATTTGCGATGGAGGCGTAAATGCTGTAGGCCCAGTGCTCAGATTTGGGCGCACGTTAAAGAACCCCAGGTGGTCGAAATTTCTGGAGCCCTCCACTACGGCGTCTCGCATAATCATACGGTGGTTTTGGGACGTTAAACCCGACAAATCAACCAATCAACTATCTCGTACTTTTGTGGGACTGTTTTAGGTCGCCACAAGCAAAGTAGAATAATATGATTGGGCTAACTTTCCATAGTTCCTTCATAACTTGCTATATGACGACTACATCATGTGTCGCAGAAATGCCTTGCCTATATCTCATTTCACAGAGCGAGAGGGAATTATGCAAGACAAATCACAGTACTTAGTCAACTATGCAAACGTATGCTACAGAGGACTATTCGGGTCTCGGAGCTACAATTATATAGTAGAATATCGCTAGGTCTTGAGTATTGAGGGAATGGTGATTCTAGGACGTGATATCGAAATGGAAGTTTCGTGCGAGAGTAGAGAAAGAAGAAGAGACATACAAGCACATACTTATTCAAGCATCTTTACTCGATTCATACAACAGTAAAAGCATCTTACGCATTACCCAACACTCCTCTCTCGCTCGAGGATGAACGAGGTAGGCCGGAGCTGAGCCGGTGGGTCCGACCAGCGCGGACTCCCCATCATGACCGTGGTGGGCGCATGCGCGGGGAAGAGTTTGGGCCCCTCCCTCGCCGTTGTCTCTCCCCACAGCCAGATTGATGTAGAGGGAGCGGCGGCGGCGCTTCTAGCCAATTCCCCGAAACGAAACACGTGGTTGAGCCGGCGGCTGGCTCTCGCGCGCGTCGGCCGCTCAGTTTCGAGCTCGGCGCCGCGCCATCGGCGGACTCACGCGGAGCCGGAAGCGCTCGGGCGTTGCGCGCAACGTGCGTGACCATGTCGGCATCCAGCGCAGGTGGCGGCAGCGCCCTGTACGGAGCCCTGGCACTCGTCTACGTGGGTCTCCTGGCCGACTTCTACGTCACTTACAAACTGTCCGGTGACGTGAGCGCATTGCGCGACCTGGTGTCTCTCGGTGGTGATTCCGGTAGTTATTCCGGTGGATATTTCACCCGGGAAGGGAGGAGGACCGTCTTTTCGAGTGAGTCTACGCCGGGTGACAGGTCTTCCGAGGTAGCGATCTCTCGTGAGCGCCGCAGTGCACATCGGCGCGGCAGAAAAGAAGCGGCGGCGGCTCGTGCGCGCGATGCCAGTGAAAACTTTGGCAGCGGTGGCAGCGGCGGTGGCGGCGGTGACCATGACCAAAACGTGCCCAGCGTAGAGTTCTTTCCACAGCCTCAGCAGGCGCCCGGTGGACCGCACGATGGCAAAGGATACGTGTGGCTCACTTCGTACTCCAGGATACCGGTGAGTGTTTCGCGTTGCCGACAACTTCAATAGCGCGTCGGACGCAGCGTTTGTCTTATCTAAACTAGAACTTTTCCTTCAATAAACACACCTGAAGGCCACATTCGCGCAGTGAGAACATACCCGCAAGATAAAGTATTTACCTTTCGCGACAGTTTACGAGTATAATTGTCGTTAGATTTTGTAACAAACTAAAATATACTCGTATGGTACGACAAAACTTGTTTAAAGATGCAGAGAATCGCCACCCCTTTCGGCAACACCACGGGCCGCTTTAACTTGGGACAGTTAGACCTAACTAACCGCCGCATCGCAGGCTCTCTGGACAGCCCAAGTTGATGCTGATATTCCGAGCTGTTGGAGGCCGAGCTCCATTTCAGCTCCGTGAGGTCCTGATACGCACGTAACAAGGGGCACCAACAAAGAATGTGTTCTAAATCACACGTTCCCCCGAAGCGAGGGTACTGCGAGCTGAAGTCACTTGGAGATAGGCAGAGCATGACATCAGGATTTGGATAAGAATTAGTTTGTAACATCTTAACATCTGTGGTCTCGTGAGCATTTCGTGTAGTGGAGGAAACACTCTTCTTTCCAGACTGTGAATTCATTAAATGGGAATAAGGTTCCTTGGAGCTCTTGAGCACTGAACTGTGACAAGGCTTCTGCCCCCGTGTGGAGAGTTAGTACGCGCGCTTGCTGAGCGACTCCAAATTTTTACTTAGGTGTGCCAGGAACCCAGTGATCGTGTGCATAGTTATGGTCCTCTTCTTAAGAACGCCATGCGCCTCTTCCACTACGAAGCCGGAGGCAGACGCCTTGACTGCTCACATAGAATCTGAGTAGATTTGTGTTCTCGTGTAATCCGATAGTGTCAACCTGCTCCGCTTTAGAAGAGGTGATCCCAGACAAGGAGGCCGACGAGATGATTTCATCTCTGTTATCTATTGAGACCACGGCATAGTGAGATGAGCGTCCATATTTTGCCGCATCTATGACGCAGACAGATTCATCCTTGATCCTCAGGATGGTTGTGTATCACGTGTCTCAGCGTACGGCACTAACTGCGCAGAGCTGACAGACGGAGTGGACAAGGCGACAGTGAATTAAGACAACATTTACGTTCAGTATAAACAGATCTGATATGACTTATATGTGGGGCTATACTTCCCCAAGCCACCATGCCATTATAAGAGACGCCATAGTGGAGGGCTCCGGAAATTTCGATCAGCTGGGGTTCTGCAGTAAATAGGGGGCCGGCGACCTTGTCAAGCTGTCTGAACAACAGCTATTTCCACATGCCCCTTAGTATTAATTACGGTGTTGATGCGAAAATAAAATTCATTGCCAGATGGAGGCATTACATATTCGGCACTGGGGCCGACGGCTTATGGGGCACGCACTGAAGTGTGACGATGATCCGGGACTTCTTCGGTCACTCTCTCCTCTTCGCGCCACTTGGTTCTTTTATAAGCCTTGGGATCCGTTTTATCAGTCAGTACTTCGAAGGCTCCAATCAGGAACCACCGCTGGTCCCTGGCTGGAATTCGACCTGATGGTGAGGGGGCTCTTGATGCGTTTGACGTACCGCAAGGAATGCCGTATCAGACTATACGCAAGGAATGCCGAATCAGACTATACCAGCTTGAGTACTTTCCAGAAGCAATGAAGTTTGGTTTGGACTCCCGGGCATAATAGCATCACAATCGCTCTTGCTGTGCGCCTTCCCTCATTACGCTACAGATGCATATTGCGAGAGATTGGTGCAACAAGAATATTTTCGCTTTGATCATCGGTGATCAGATGGCCCCTCTCGTCTGCCAACACTGAATTGGTGCCCAGAATGGCTCAGATTCTCCTCGCTTCCAAAGAGCAGGATAGTCGAGCCAGCTAGGCCGATTCCTCTGCTTCGATGATTTCGTCCAGCGTATTGTGCACGCCTAATTAACCGAGACGTTCTGTGCTATCAGTCATGGGAATACCGAGCACCCTTTTATTGCTTTTCAGAATGAGGGAGTTCGGCTTTTTTTTTCTCGAAGTTGTGCCAGTGGCCGCTACATGGTCGCTACATAGATGATAGATGATGAGAAATCTGTAAAGAATCTTGAGCGAATTGTCTTCTTTCAGGTCTCTTCTTCTTATAGACATCCTAGTATTCGTAACAAAAGTTGCTCCCACGAAGAAGGAATGATGAGTACACTCGGCATACTAGCTTTTCTTGACGTTAGATGACCACGCTGGGCCATGCTGCACCATATTTCCCTCAGATTTCAAAATAATTGCCACCTTTTATTGTGATGCCATGTGGTTAAGCCACGTTCGAGTTTTTTCTTACGGGATTCGTGAAAAAAAAGGAACCACGTTGAATGGTAAGAGTAGTATGATTCTATTCAAATAAAAAAGCTCTGCACAAAGGGCGCGAAGTATTTTGCCAATTTTCGTAGGTTTCCGCTTACGATAAAGAGCCCATACGTTATCCTAAACGCTCACAACGTGCCCTATATTAACAAGGCTACATGCGACACGGACATTCACTCCATCTTCACAGCATGCACATATATTGTGGTAGGCCGCAGTAAACTTGGCAACGAGTTAACCTCGACATGCACGTCGCCTTTGTTGTGGCATAACCAGTTCGACGAACACGGAGGACAAGTTGGGCCAGGCTGAACGCGTTTGTCTTTCGTTTTGGGCTCTTCTAGGAGCCTTTAGTTGTACCTGCACAGCAACAATGTAGACTTTCCCCAACGAATTTCTGTATACGCAGAACTTGGTTCTTACATTCTATCGTGTAATGTAGCGTTGCTCAGAGGTGATGCGCTAACTATGCGCTTAAGGGAAAGCTGAAGAATTGATGCACTGGTAAGCCATGACAATATTCACCTTGTTTAAGGGTGTTCGGTGCAATGTTTTGTCTTCATTTCAGACATCTTTGGAGAGAGAGAGAATAAGGTTGAGTGAAAGGCAGGAAGTTTAAACAGAACGAAATTTTCGGTTTGCTACCCTGCACTAGAGAAAGAGAAATGGGCATGAAAAGGTAACGTGGCAAAAAGTAAGGGCACGGATGGTTAAAGAAAAGAAAATAGAAAGCGCGCACACACTCGAGCACGGGAAGGTCACAGTCATTTAGCGAGTCCGGTCGACCGCTGAAACTTCAGCAGCACCTTCGTGGCTTTCTGGCGCTTTGGACTTCTTTGGGAGTTTTAATTTTACCACGTATAAAAGAAAACAATGGAGGCGAGTGGGTTGATTGTCTCTCTCAATTTTGACACCCACGTCAAAGTGAAATATATTCACCACCTCTCGAACTTTTGTTCTCAGTGATCGATGAGGTGTCAAGTGAGGAGTGGCTGACTCTTTAAGGGTTACATTGTTCGCTCAGGAGGCGGGAGCCTGTTCACCTGATAGCGCCTCCATGAAATTCATTCGTGAAGCACCGAAAAAAGCAGAAAACATTAAGAATCTGGGCGGCAATAAACCGGAAGCCTTATTGTATAAAAAAAAGCGCTCAATTTTGTTGTTAACGAAAAAAAGAGAACAAATGCATTATATACTAGAGCTTGAGGGCTTATAAGGCCCAACGAAATTTAAAGGCGAAGCTGCCCAAGGAAGTGAATATATCGATTTAGAGCACTAAGCTACACTTGTGTCTTTGCGTATCTGGCATATAAAGAAAAAAAAACAATCGGCGACCTATACTGCAGTCAGTTTCGGTCATTCACATCGGTCGAAGAAAGGAAGGAAACATGCAGAAGTCAGAAAGGATAATGAAAAGTACGCCTAGTTGGCTATATTAGAAGAGGGGGAATATGAGAGGGGAATAGAAATGCAGAGGGAAAGATAGGGTGGCATTCATGAATGACAGGGTAGGGAAAGAGAAAGCCGAATTACCTTGTGAACTTTCTAAGCATTTTATACCACCTAGGGAGGTTGACTGCTTTGACGCAAGTTAGGTCCGTCAACGGTAAGTGAATATTGTGTCCCATAGAATGCAATGGTCTGCAGTGCGAAGCAGACGCCTGCCACTTAACTATTAAACCTTTACATGCATATAAGCTTTCTGTTTACAAGTAGAAGAAATATATTGGTGGCATCGCCTATCAAGTTCTCGCTATAGTCACACGGGATCACGCAGGTACGAATGTTTATCGCGGGCCTTCACTCAGAAGTGCCATAAAGTACATCGTCCCACTCGCGCGGGCACGTAACTTACTTGAGCGGCATGGTGCGCCCCCCACCTCCACCCCAAGCTATCCGACTTTCTTCACGGAGGTTTGAACCACATCAAGCCTTTACAAACTCCACTTACTACTCTGGCATAGGCATTGGCAAGGTGGAAGGTCGGCTTCCGTGACCCCCAAATTTGTCAATTTTGCATGTGCATGTATACACACCCACACAAAAATACATACACGCAAACATACACAAAGGCTGATTGAACAATTCCTGCCCACCTCCCCCCCCCCCCCCCCCAAAAAAAAAAATCTCAGCATATCCACGAAGTGAATGACAACGAGTGGAGCGAAGCGGACAAACAGACGGACGCACGGACGGATGCATGGCCGCACAGATGGACGCACAGACTAGCACACGGATGGACGCTTCGCCCCACTTGTCATCATTCACTCCGAGTATATGCTGTGACACCAATTTTATTGCCATGCAATGCAATGCAACTGGCTACTACGACTATGACGACTACGACGACACGTGACATATGGCCCACAGCTGAAGGGGCTTCTCCCCTAAAGATGCCTTTGGCTACGTGCCTTGACCTACTAGCCGCATTATATTCTGTACATGTACATTGCTGAGATGTACCACATGTACATAATGGTCGTGCACAGGAAGTTGGCAATGCAGAAATAAACTTGTACATTTTCATTACAAATTCCAAAAACTACTTCTATCTAGAGAGAGGGAGAGGGGGGAGCTGTCAACCCAGACAGCAGCAATGATTCTTACTTCACCTTATTTTTCTTATTTTTCTTAACTGAGAAGAA